TATGCACAGGTGAAAACACTCACAGACGTAAAAATAAAATAAGGCTGTTAAAAAAAATAAAAAAGGAAGCAATAAAAAGCCAGGATTTGTGGTGTACAACTATAATCTAGGAACTGAAGGATATCGCCTGCTGATTACTGCCCCACAGAGACCCCTGAAGAAAAACACAATGGGTGAAATAATGCTATCATTCATTCATTCTTGAACAACTGAAGGATGCCTTTACAAACCATAGAAAACAAGAAGCCCCGTGCGGCGACTCAAGCCTGTAATTCCAGCACTGGGTAGGAAGACTGTTGAAAGTTTTAGAGCAGCCTGGGCTACAGAGTAAATAGTGGGCCAGCCAGCTACATAACAAGATTCTCCATCCCAGGAAAAGAACTAAATTATTAACTGTGGTCCTCACTCCCTTCAATACAACCAAGACACTGAAGAGAGAACTACAAGCCATGTTGTTATTTGGACTTCCCTGCACTCTGGAGTAGGGGTTAAACAGCCAGTCCTGTACTGAAAAGCATACCAAGAAGGATATGTTTTAAATGTTTTAAGTCTGGTCCCCATGTTTAAGCATCTCAGAATTGCGAAGTTAAGACAAATTCATTAATTTAGTAACATCAGATGGGATGACCAAGTATAATGAAGTCGCAAAGACTGTGCTTTTTTGAGAAAGCTTTTCAAACCGACCAAGGACCAAATACTACTCATTTTCTCTTACTAACGATGTCCCTTGCGTAAGTTCTTTAACTTCTGACTCAGTTTCCCCACCAACAAGGCCTGGATGCCTTTTGCAGTTCTAACAGTGCCTGAAGTTAGCACAGATCCCGTGGGCAAGGGCTGGTCATGTAAGGGTTTCTAATTCTAGTTGGTGTTTCCGCACATCGATAGTGACTGGCTGCCAGTCACTGGCTGCACAACTTTGGGTTAGATAAAAAAATATGCTACAGCGGTTCACAGACATGCAGGGGAATTTTAATTCAGAACATGGCTGCTCTGGCAAGAGATCACACCCAAAGACCTTCTAAGTCTGTGTGATGTGGCTGGAATAAAGGCACACCTTTAAGCCAGGAGACAGAAACAAGCATCTCTCTGAGTTCAAGCCAGCCTGGTATAGAGCAAGTTTCAGGTAAAGAAAAGCTTAGGTCCAGGTGTGGTGGTACATGCCTATAATCCCAGCACTCAGGAGACAGAAGCATGCCAATCTCCGAGTTCTAAATTATTAACAGCCGCCTCACTGCATCAGCTCCGGCTTCCAGGTTCCTGTCTTGTTTTAGTTTCTGTCCTGACTTCCCTCAGTGACAGGCTGTGAGGTGGGACTATAATCTGAAATATACCCTTTCCTCCCCAAGTTTCTTCAATTCTGTTCAGGCTGTTCAGTTGAGACAGTGAGTTGAGGGGCAGTTTTACCAGGAGAGATTTATAGAGACAGGTTGGAGAGAGAACAAGCTAGGCACAGGTGAAGACAGAACCAGCCAGAGAATGAGAAGGAGCCAGAAGATTAGAACATATTGTCAAAGTTAGTACGAGGCCAAGCAGAGCAATTCAGTCAGAGACTAAGAAAAGCCAGATTGAATCTGTCAGGAGTTTTGAGCCAGACAGCTGAGGTGAACCAGCTAGCCAGAGTTCAGAAAGAGCTAGAGCAGTCAAGTCTCAGAAGCTGAAAGCATTCTAGGCCTAGATTAGATTTTACGGAGACCAGAAGCTTCCAGGATTAGGCCTAGGTTAGCAGACAGACAGTAAGCCTCTGAGAGGACAATTAAATCAGGTGAATAAAAATTACTTTTACAAGCGGGTCAAGGTGGCATACACCTTTGGTTCCAGCACTTGGGAGGCAGAGGCAGGTGGATCTTGAAAAACAAAAACAAAAGCCAAAGTTGCTTTTTCACAGGTATGCATTATCAAGGGCACAATGCAAGAAGAGCCAAGTGGAAGAGACATATAGAGCAAGGGGAAAGAAGTTCCCAGAGGGTCCATGCCTTCTGCAAACAGGACACCCACACACCAAGAATCTTCACAAGGTTTACTTCCTGGAAGCTCCCCAAAGTTACCACTTAGGGGTTTTATGGAGGTTCCACTGGTAGGCAGGGTTGATAAAAAGCATGAGTCATTTGTGACTGAAGGGTAATCCAGTCCCTTCACCTCCTCAGAAGCTGGGGGTGGGGCTGAAAGTTCTAACACCCAAACCAAAGGGCTGGTTTCCGTGGTGACCAGACCCAACTCCAAAGCCATCTAAAAGCACACCAAGGTCAGCCTCTTAACAGACCTCTGTGACTCTGAAAGGTTCTTCCTTGTTAACAGTAAAACAGGCTCCTCTCAGTCTCACCTGAGAAATCCCAAGAGTTTAGCTCTGGTCAGGAACCCAGGACAAAGATCAAATATGCATTTCCTATTATCAAGGCTGTGCCGCTTGGACACTGTCTGGCTTCAGCTCAGGGCACATCACTGGAATCTTCAACATTTGGATCTCGATTCCAAAAGAAGTCTTGTCTGATCATTCACTAAAGCAGGTCCCAAGGGGGACCCTGCTGGTGTCCTGGCAGGGAATTGAGCCCGAAAATAAATGAGAATGAAGACCTGGTTCAGATTGACTGTGTCAACCTGCAGCAGACTTCAGGGAGTCTAATGCCAGGCAGTTCATCGCCAGTGCATTTAAAACACAGTTTGGGAAAAGGTTTTCTGGCAACAATTTCAATCCAGGTGCACAATAAAGCTTAAGGTGTGACTACATAGAAACTTTTTTTGCAGAGTACATGTGACCATAAGGGTGGGTTCTAATAGCTAAAAGGCCTAGACTTTAGTGTGGACTCTGATGGATAGCAAAGAGCTCAGCAGGCCATAAAGTACATGTGAGATCTCCCCAAGGACGAGTAATGGTCTATGGAGGGAAGAGTCTGGGATAACCACTCTGAAGAATTTGGGAGGTGGGTGAGTTCTGCTTCCACTGATAGCAAAATGGTCCCCCGTCATTAACAAAATCCTCTCTCAGCTTTCTGGACGGAATGCAGGTATTTGATTTTATCTCCCCCATGAAGGAAACACCAGTGCTTGATTAGCATTCCTGGTTCTCTTAGTGCACATCGGCCAGCCCAAGGACCTTTATGACCACAACATCTACCCCGTGGTTTGCAATCACCTTCCTGCTTCATTCCATGAGAATGTAATTTCCCTAAGGGAAAGGTCTTAAGTCAAAGCTGAATCCTCAGACCTTAGCATTTCTGAAACAATACTCAAAAAAGCACTTGCTGAACAACAAAGTAACAGAATGAGAAAAGCTAGTATCGAGGCTGGAACTGGGAATACAGTGGATAGAATGCTAGGGGCCCAAAGTTGGTCATCAGCACAAAATTAAAACGGAAATCTGTATCAAAGCATTCATGAGCGTAAGACCACGATTTGATTTTCAGTACTGCAAAAACAGAATACAAAGACAGAAAGGGACATGGGTTGTGAGACCTGAATAAGAGTGAACACACAGGAATACAAAATAAAACAATGTCTAGCCCAGCGTAGGCTCGGGACTTCAGCTAAAGCCATTATCAATGTAATTCAGAAGAGGGTGAGGTCAACGTGGGCCAGAGCAGTTAACCAACTGCTTCAACGACAGGGGCAGGTCTTGAATTCCATCTGCTTAGATAAAAAGACTTCACACTCTACATCTCCTCCTCCACTCTGACCACCCCTAACGCAAGTCTGCTGTCTCCACACCCCCGATCAAGCCAATCAAATGCAACCTTCACACTGCAAGAAGGACCTACTCACCAACTTCTCCCAGCCCTTCTACTAACACACTCTCCTTTCCTTCTGACACCTGAGTCTACATGAACTTCCAACATGAATACTGACAAGCGACGCTCAGTAAAACTCCTGGATTGACTTCAGAGACATGTACCCAAGAAGCAAGTCACTCACCATTCCAGCAATCCAGACGGAAAGAAATGTTCCGGTATATATATTAAAATCAAATATAGTACCAGCTGCCTGGCTCGGTGGGTGGAGGCGCCATCACGAAGCCTGATGACCTCAGTTGGATGGAAAGAGAGAAAACTAACTCCTGAAAATTATAGGCTTACCTCTCACACCTCTCCCCCTCCACTTCTCCATACATACATAAAATAAATAAATGATGCGCTTTTTTTTTTTTTTTTTTTTTTAGTTCAAGTACAAGTAAGGCAAGATGACTCACCTATCTTTAAGCCTGATGACCCGAGTTCAGTCCCCAGGACGCTCGTATTGGAAAAAGAGAACTCCAGCAAGAGAGCCCTGACCTCTACAACACACACAAACTTCTAGTGCAAAGGTCATGTCGACTTTGAAATAGGGACAGAAAAGAAGCAACCATCATGACCACCCACAAGGAAATCATCCAGACTATAGGGACACCTACGACAGACACTTTGTGAAACAATCTCCAAAATATAGCTAACTGGGGGGAAAAAAAAAGTCGGAGAATATAAAACATGATTTGAATGAGGTAAGACAAAATATTGTAAAACACAAACACACACATCGTCAAGAATCCCTCATATGCCTGGGACCTGAAAGTTCCACTTAAGTATTTGCTGACTGGAGACACACATAAAGAAAAGACCTGGAAAACAGACCTGCTTTTCGTGTTGAATATTTCTGTTCTGTTTGCATCCTTAGGAGACTGTATTAATTAACTAGTTGCATTATTAAAATAAATGCCTTTAAGCTACGGGACTTGGATATAGAGAGGAGCCAGGCATTAGCCAGGCGACTAATCCACTCCCAGAGCAACTAGAGTTTTTACACAGAAACACCACGCTCAGAGCCCTTAAATATGAACCGAAAAGTACTGAGCTACAAATGGTTGAACAGCAGTGGGATCCGTGGCACTCTTGATCGAGAGGGCTTTTGCTCCCAAACCACTCCTTGAGCTGGGCTCTGGGGGGTACGTGTCCTCAGTCACGACTGCGGGAGGAACGGAGGAGGAAAGCGCTTCAGGCAGGTGCTAAACCCGCGGTCCAGGCTAGGAAACTTACTTTCTGACTGGCCTCTTTGGCTGTGACCTGTCTCTCCTGTTCAGGCATCGTCCCCACAAACGCCAAGTTCTTCCTGGGATCCATCCCGCAGCCCAAAGGTCACCTGGTCGGGGGAGGGAAAAGCCGACTTTACAAGCCAGGGAGAGGAGGCGCGAAGACGAGCATCTGTGGTTCCCGGGGAACGCTCGGCTGGCTCTGATCTCCCAGCCCCGGCGCTGCGGACTCGGTGCAGCGAGCTCCGCGGTGCGCTGAGGATGGGATGCAGCCGGGACCACAGCCGCGGGGCGCCCGGTCCTGCCTGCGCAGACCCCTGTCCAACCCGCGCCCCGCTCCCGCAGCCGCCACTTCTCAAAGACCGGACTCTGCGTCGGAGGATCAGCTCGCCACCCGCCCGGACCTCCCATTGGGTCCCAAACGGCTGCGAGCTCCGCGGTGGGGGCGGGGCGGGCGGCAGCGAAGGGGCTTCCAGACTGGGGGGGGGGGGGGGGGGCGGGGCGGCTGTCCATCACAGGCCACGCCCCCCGCCCACCACCACAGTGGGGCGGGCCCGTGTGCGCCCCGCCTGTGGGAAGCGGCTATTTGGCAACCCGCAGGAAGACGTGTGGGCAGGAGGGGGCGTGGCTAGAGGCGTACGCTTCCGCAGGAACCAATAGCATAGAAGAACAGCCAAGAGCTTCCGGGCTGCGAGGGGGTGGGGGAGTAAGATGGCGGCGTACGCGGGGAGCTGGTGCTCGTACGCGCTGCTGAGGTGAGGAGCCGGTGGCCTGAGTTCACGGGGCGTCTCCTCCGTGGATGATGTAGTTGGGGCAGCCCAGATAATGTCTGCAGAAGAGCTTTCTTTGCCATGCCTCCGTTTACCGCAGTGGTTTCGCATGCCTCACTGCTGACTGAGCAGCTGTTTCCTTACACCGCTTACTGCTGCTTCTCTGCTTCATAAACCATTTGGTTTATTCTCTGCTTCTTGACCGTCTGGTGATTTATTTTATTTTTCCTGGTTAATGGTTAAATTATGGATATATCGTTTTCGTTCTTAAGTTACATATCGTTTCTTGCGTAAAAATTAGGAAATAGAAATAAACAGGAATGCTAACCACATGGTGATTACTACTGTTGTAATAGTTCTATATTTCAAAATATGTTCCTAACTTATAAAGACCTACCTAAGTTCTTTTAACACCTATGTGTCTTTGTTCAGGTTGAAAATTAGAACTAGCGTAATAGCATTCTGAAGGATAGTAGATACATGCAGTCTTTTATGTTTGGTTGGCTAGGGCTTTTAATTTTTATCTTTTTATAAATTAAGTTTGCATCTCGGTCATAGAACCGTCCCTCCTCTCCTCCCAGTACCACCCTCTCTCCCTCATCCCTCTCCCCTATTCCTCAGAATAGGGTCCCCTTCCCAGACACCCCAGCTCACCTATTCACATGAGGGCTGAGTTCATGTCTTCTTCCCCTGTGGTCTTGTAGGGAAGTCCCATGAGGAAGAAGTGGTCAAAAAGCAGGCAACATAGTCCTTGTCAGAGATATCCCCCACTCCCCTAACTAGTGGGCCCACATGAAGCCTAAGATGCCTGTTGGACTTACCTAATGCACACAGTCTTGGCAAAGTTTGTACTACATCTTGATTTCTGTACTTTAATGTATGAGTGTTCTATCTGCATGTACACCTGCAGGCCAGAAGAGAGCATCAGATCCCAGTATAGATGGTTGTGAGCCACTGTGTGGTTGCTGGGAATTGAACTCAAGACGTCTGGAAGAACATACAGTGCTCCTAACAGCTGAGCCATCTCTCCAGCCCTGTGGTGATTGTTAAAAAATATGAATAGGCTAGTTTGTTGTAGCACATTCTTGTTGTTGTTGTTTTTTTTTTTTTTTCCCTGATAAATGGAATGCTGCCGGCTCTCTACTGTACTCATTATAATAGTAACTTTCTGCATTATAATGGTGATTTGATGAGGAATCCATAACTTTGGGTTACAGTTACCTTTCTTTAAAGCATTTTCTTTAATTATGGGGAAATATTGGCTAGGAATAAAGTGTTTGCCTAGGATGAATGAGATCCTGAATTCAATCACCACTACTAGGGGAAAAAATAATTGGATATTTTGCTCTCAGACTTATAAGCTACAGAAATTCTCTCTGATACTAAGATACTAAGCAAATATGTAAAAGTTAACCTCAGTTTGTAGCTTACTTAATAAATTGACAATGGATTGATTTTTACCATTTATTTATTTCAGATTTTTTTACTCACTATTCTTTCCTGGACTAATTATATGTGGAGTTTTGTGTGTATGTTTGGTCATTGGCCTTTGGATAATCAGACGACATCTACAGAGAAAGAAAAAGTCAGTCTCAGCCAGCAATGGAAAGGATCGAATGGTGGTTTCATTTTTCCATCCATACTGCAATGCGGGCGGTGGAGGAGAGAGAGTTCTGTGGTGTGCTTTGAGAGCCCTGCAGTTAAAGTAGGTATGCATCTTTCTCGGCCAATCCTCTACGCTGCTGCTTGCCTCCTGAGAGCAGACTGACTTTTAGGTTCAGGCAGTGTTGCACAGCTGTCATCCCACCTTCTCTAGAGGCTAAAGTGGGAGGATCAGTTTGATCCCAGGAGCTGCAAGCCAGCCTGGACAACATGAGGGCCACCTCTTAAAGGGGGGAAAGGAAAAAAAAAAAAAAAAAGCTGGCTTTTAAAAAGCAGGTAATACTTGCTGGATGGGAAAGCTCATAGTGCTTTGTGCTGTAAGTTGCCCTTGCTTAAATAAATAACTCTCCACCTGTGCTCACACGGGCAACCCTCACTAAATGTCCACACATGAAGGCAGAAGAAAGATTTGCTGGGGAGAAGAGGATAAGATGTGGGAGCAAGAGATGTAAGCTACCTGCATGTTATACATAGGAGAGGGGCAGGGATAGAGGCGGAGGCAGTAACATAGTGAAAAATAACTTATTTTTTGGTTTTATTGAGGAAGGGTATCTCAGCGTAGCCCTGGCTATCCTAGAACTCACTCTGTAGACCAGGCTGGCTTCAAACTCACAGACACCTGCCTGCCTCTGCCTCCTAAGTGCTGGGATTAAAAGTGGGCACCACTATGCCCAGCTGAAAATAATTTTGTTTTTCGAGACAGGGTCTCTCTGAGTAGCGTTGGCTGTTCTGGACTTGCTTTGTAGACCAGGCTGGCCTCGAACCCAGAGGGATCCACCTGCGTCTGCCTTCCAGCTGCTGGAATTACAGTTGTATGGCCATCATCACCCAGCTGAAAATAAAATTTTTAAAGTGTATAAAAACATAAAATCTTTATATCCAGGTGAAAACGTATTCCCAGATTCCCTTAGAAAAGCCACCCCAAGTGATCTTAAATGCCATTGTTTTTTTCTTAGTTGGCTTGCTTTTCAATTGAGAAAGATTTATAATCTTTATTAAAAAACAGAACAGCTAAGTATATAGTTTGGGGAGCATTCATGCGTGCACATGTGTTTGTGCATGTAGAGGCCCGGGGTGTCTTGCCCAATTGCTTTCCACTTTTTATTGAGGCAGGATCTCTAGCTGAACATGGACGGACATCAGGATTCCTACCAACCTAGCTAGGCGGCTTGCCCAGAGACCCACTTGTCTCTGCCTTCCAGAGTGCTGGACTACACGTGGCTGTCACCTTTATGTGGGCACAGGGGTGCAAACACTCGCACTTGTGTGGCATGTGCTTTATCCACTGAGCCGTCTCCTTGGCCCAAGTCTGTACTTTTAATTTATAGTAGTGATCGGATATTGTTGTGCGTGATGTTACTTATAATGTGCTTAAGAATCTGTTACATTAGAATTAGTTAAGTAGCCGCGGAAGTCTGTCTGAAAATTGGAGTCTCAAAAAGTTATATGTGTATAACTGTACTCAAAAACAAGGGAATTAATTTTTTAATGGTTTTATGTACTAATTTTGATTTTATGTGTATTAGCACCTGCATGTATGAAAGTGCTCCAGATTCACGCACTGCCCAGGGAGCCAGAAGAGGGAGTGGCATCCTCGTGAGCCACTGTGTGGCACTGGGAATTGAACTCAGGTCTTCTGTAAGAGCAGTGAGTACTCTTAGCCACTGAGACATGTCTCCAGAACCAGGAATTAATTTCCTAAAAGTGTGATTAACTAACTGTCTACAGCCAGTTAAGCTTCGTTACGTAGATTTATATATGGGTGGTATTGCAAATAAGGGGGGAAAACACTAAGTAATACTTTAAAATTATGTATCAGGACTGGAAGGGTGGCATGGCAGTTAAGAGTGCTTGCTGCTCTTCCAGAGGACCTGAGGTCAGTTCCCAGTACCCAAATCTAGTGGTTTATAACTGCCTGTAACTCTAGCCCTAAAGGGTCTAACATCTTCTGGCTTCCTGAGGTACCGCTATGCGTGTGACCTACAGTCACACAACCACATACAATACACATGAATAAAAATAAATCTTAAAAAAGAGTTATGATCGTACCTCAAGACAACTTTAGTGAATCTTAGTTTTTGTTTTATTAATATTTTATTACCATTTTATACAACGAACCATGTAAAATAAGGGTCCCACCTGTTTGTTTGTTTGTTTGTTTTCTGTGGTACTAAAGGTTGAACTCAGCAACTTGCGTATGCTGGGCAAGTGCCCTACAGCTAAACTCATTAAAATAAAAATTTTTTACATTTCCTAAAAAATGAAAACCTCTCACTAATATGTCAAATTTCTGTTGGTGTTTGCTTCATTTTAAAACCCATATTCAAAGGAATGGCATGTATTTAGAAGACATGATAGCTTAGTCTTGTCTCGCTAGCTACAACAAAATAGTTCAGACTAGATAGTTTATAAACGAGAAATGTATCGCTCCTAGTTCCAGAGATTGGGAAATCACAATCAAGAGCCAGAGAATGTGACATGCCTTGCGACACGTAGATAACTGCCACGTGCTGTGTCTTCGTGTGGCAGGGTGAACAGACTCCGTTAGTCCTCTCCAAGGGACCACAAAGGATCTGCGAGGATAGCCCAGGGGTAAAGTGAACATTACACACGCAAAGGCCCTGGGGTCAGTATTTAGCAGCAAAAAAA